GAGTGTCCTTTAGTCCCTATATGCCTACTCCTAATTCCTGGACCCTCAAGGCATATTTCTCAGTGCACTTCTCTAAATCATTTCCTCAACCTGCAAAAATGGTGTCAAAACCCTTCTGCACATCTGAACTCAAGCATCATTTCAAGACATTTTCTTCCTTCTCCACAAAGTGTTCCTAGTCAGCACACATACTGACTCCATTCCTTTAGCAGCCATGCCTCACAGCCTCCAAATGTTCAAGACAATGCCTTGTCTACACAAAGTACCACAGTAATTATTACCAATTTATACCCTGAATATCTAAAACAACTGACCCATGAGTGAAGATATGTCTTCCAGACCCAGTCTCCTAATCTCAAGCCAGACAGCTGACATTAATGGTCTGTAGTACTGAAGCACACACTTTACTGCTAAATTCTCAGAAGAACATGGATTTAACAGCATAACTGAAAGGCTTAAGTAACTTCACTTCAGATCTGAAAAATCCTATTGAGTCCAAGTAAAAACAAAACAATCTCAAAACAGAACCAAAGAAGCTCAAGATGACTAGAACCATGAAATGTTGAGAAAAGCCTTCTGAGGATTTATACAAGCTCTCCAGATTTGGAGGTCTTTGGTTTTGAATGGGAATCAACTCGTCTCAAAAATTGTTATGGTAAACTAAAGAGAATACTTGATTTTTCTCCCTTATGGAATGCTCCCAAAAAAGAAGGAACCCACTGTGTTCCCTTAATATGTTGTTAGGGACACAATTTTTTAGATACCCACTATCAATAGAAGAAAGCACTATTGTTTCACTTACTACATACACTGTGATTTAAGTATCTGGTAATGAATCAGTTTCTGCAATCAAATCTCAATAGCAGGGAATCAAAAACTGGCTATCTGGGGCTGGAGATGGCTCAGCAGTTAAGAGCACTAGCTACTCTTGCCACCTGTAATTTTAGTTCCAAGGGATCCGATGACCTATTCTGGCCTCCTCAGGCTCCTGTACACTGTAGTACACACATATTCAAGCAGGTTCTCACACATTCAAATACATTAAAAGCAAATATTTTTTTAAAAAATAAAAACTGGGTATCTTGTCTCACTCATCCTTGGAAATTCTAGATGAAATAGGCTGACACACTGGAAGACTTAAGAAAAAGAAATGCTCTCTCAACTAATGAATGAATTCCATCTTGGGTTAAAACATGTTCAAAACGCCAACAGCCTGTTAAAAAGTAATGGAAAGAGGTTAAATAATACAGTCAATTGTCAACCACTTGTTAAAAAGTAAAGGAATGTAGAACTCACATGCATTTTATAGTTAGATAGACCAAGCACAACCTACTGGTATTTTTTTTTTCCCAGAATAATTTCCAATGGCCAACACAAATATGTCCGAAGAAACTGGGCTGAAAATGTAGCTCAGAAGTAGTGCACTTGCCCTGGGTTCACGACCCCCCAATCAACAAATTGTTCCATTTTATCCCTATTCTAATCAATGTTTTCCATTTTTAAGGTAGAACTAAAAACTGTGGAGAAAATCATTCTTCACTACTAAATCAGATACTCTTCCAGGCCCTCCATCAGTTTTACGTGGTTCTTCTTTTTTGATTACCACTGATTCCCCCTCTTCCTGTGTCCCCCAAAACCTAAGGATCAATCAGAGAACAATTATCAAAGCTTCGGGATCAGAGTACAGGAGGATGCATACATACTTCAGTCTGCCCCCAAGAGTCATAAAGAATCACAGTTGCAATGAACCATGAAAGGGTTAATACATTATATACAAAGTAATAAAATCTCTCATCTACGTATTTAAAACTGAGGATATCTAAAACAACTTTTGGTATAAAACTCTTCTTATATGTACTTGCTCTCTTAAGATGTACATACCAGATACTCTTATCAGGGAAAATACGACATAGAATTATCAACTGGCAAAAGGAGGACTTAAGAAAAAGAAATGCTCTCTCAACTAATGAATGAATTCCATCTTGGGTTAAAACATGTTCAAAACGCCAACAGCCTGTTAAAAAGTAATGGAAAGAGGTTAAATAATACAGTCAATTGTCAACCACTTGTTAAAAAGTAAAGGAATGTAGAACTCACATGCATTTTATAGTTAGATAGACCAAGCACAACCTACTGGTATTTTTTTTCCCCAGAATAATTTCCAATGGCCAACACAAATATGTCCGAAGAAACTGGGCTGAAAATGTAGCTCAGAAGTAGTGCACTTGCCCTGGGTTCACGACCCCCCAATCAACAAATTGTTCCATTTTATCCCTATTCTAATCAATGTTTTCCATTTTTAAGGTAGAACTAAAAACTGTGGAGAAAATCATTCTTCACTACTAAATCAGATACTCTTCCAGGCCCTCCATCAGTTTTACGTGGTTCTTCTTTTTTGATTACCACTGATTCCCCCTCTTCCTGTGTCCCCCAAAACCTAAGGATCAATCAGAGAACAATTATCAAAGCTTCGGGATCAGAGTACAGGAGGATGCATACATACTTCAGTCTGCCCCCAAGAGTCATAAAGAATCACAGTTGCAATGAACCATGAAAGGGTTAATACATTATATACAAAGTAATAAAATCTCTCATCTACGTATTTAAAACTGAGGATATCTAAAACAACTTTTGGTATAAAACTCTTCTTATATGTACTTGCTCTCTTAAGATGTACATACCAGATACTCTTATCAGGGAAAATACGACATAGAATTATCAACTGGCAAAAGGAGGAAGCATGCACATACATTAACTGTGAAAATGGTGGGGAGAAAGGGAGCATCCCTCTTGAACAGCTCAAAAATAATCAAATACTAGGGGAAAACACTGACAAAAATACAGGCTATCATTACATTTCTCTCACACATTAGCCACTGTATCTACAGAAGTTATCTAAAGCAAGTTTGGAAAACATAGGGGAAACATCAGTATTTATCTCTCTACTGATTTAAGAAATTAGAACATATACCAATTTGACTTAAACATAGGGGTGTATCAATAATCTGGACATCATCACACTGATAAATAAAAAGCCCAGAACAGGCACAAAAAGTTGAATAAGCATGAACAAAAGATTATACTTTTTAAGCCCCCCCCCTTTAGTTATCTTTAAGCATTTCCAATATTAATATGATTACATATTTACCCTCAAAAGAAAGTCTTCAACAAGATTTAAAAAAACAACGCTGTCTTTTAACTCAACAACCCACCTCTAAATATATCAAGAATAAAAATATTTATAAGGAATAATGTTGACAAAAACGTTATCGTATTGAAAAACCAGAATGAATGCAAAACTCTATCAGCAGAGTATGCAGCTCTTGAAATTAAGAAGCTACTATTAATGTCTTTAAAAATAACTTATTAACCTAAAAAAGGTTATAGAACAAAACTAAAACTATATACATATATCTGTGCAAAATTCAGAAGTATCCCTGCTGAGTGCTAGAGTATTTTTTTTGAAAGTTTTACATTTGCTTTGAAAACAAAAGGGAGAAAATCTTAACAACCTAGCATTTTTATAAGCCTTTTATTAGAAAGAGGGGAAAAAAAGTATTATCATAAATATGCTCAGTAACTGTGTAGTGGCCCACAATTGTGTAGTTTCCCTTTTGTGAAAGGCAATCCAACAAGATCATACATACTTTGATTCAGTAATTCCAAATCCAGGTATAAGGTATTCATACTGCTATTATTCTCACAAATGTACAAATACACGATTTTGTTCAAGAATATTCACAGCAGCACTGTTTATATTAGCACAGTCCTAATGTGCCCAAATGTTCACTGACAGAGACTAGAGATCAATTAATTATGTGTATTCAATGAAATACTGTATAGCCATGGAATAAGAAAATGCTAGCCCAGTGTGATGGAACTGAATGACATCTGAGATAAGTGAGGATTAAAAATGTAGAACAGTGTGTTAAGCAAAGCAAAGTGAGGAGGGAGGGGTGCCGGCTGTACAGACAGGGCTAGTATCTGCACAGACCTTTTCCAGAAGGATGAAGCCACCAGAAATAACGATGGACTTAAGTCTAGAATTCAGGGGTAGTAAGGTTTGTTTTTCATTGTAAATAATGTAAACCAATTTATTTTTAGAAAATGCTTAGCCTGAGTTTAAGCTACTTTTAAGTTTTTACAGCCTTTTGAAATTAAGTAGTGAATTATTTTATTGTTGTGCAGATTTACTTGGGAAAAGGTCTTCAAGTTGTCAAAATTATGCAGAGGAAAAATAAGTCTCTTTTAAAGGTTTAAAAAAATTCTAAACTATCATTGGCTGTCTTTAGTTTATTACAATGTAAATTATACCCACTTGTAAACCTAAGCTCTTCCAAAGTCCTCACACTGCTGCTAGCCAACAAATCCGTATCTGTTTAACCTAGTCCTTGTCTTGCTTTCTTAGTATCGAGCAGTTTTTAAAACTCATATTCTGTCTTGCTACATTTAATACCTGTTCTACATAAAAGGATTTTCCACTGGCCACAAATAAGCAGAATCAGAGACCAGACACTGTCTTTTTTCAGGTTTAATCCTTTCAAGACAGTATGGCCTAGCCTTCCATGACAGGGGGGAAAATGCCTGCTAGAATAAACAAGACAGTGACTCACTAAACATAGTATTCTACTCCAAAGCTGTTCTAAAAAAAGTTCAAAAAATGTCTTACATTTCACCGTATTCCCAAACAGATTAAACTTTAAGTCTAAAGGTTCAGTTTCTGTGTCACTAATAGGCTCTGTAACTTCGGGGCACTGTTCCCCAGGAACTGGAAACTACTCCAAGTAAGAGAGAAAATGCTACTTAACATGGGGACTGGGTCTTTTGTCCCATTTGCTTACTGGACTGTCGAATAAGAGAGACAAGGTAATACTGGAAGGGCTTCCTAATCCAAACAGGTCTCGATGGTGTTTTACTCAACACCAATGCTGAAAAATGTGTTCCAAACTTCCTGAAAATAAGAGGCGTCACTTTAAAGAAGAAAAACAAGCCGAACTCACCTTTAACACTTTTTCTATTAACATCTGCTCCCTTTTCAAGCAAATACTGAGCAATCTCTTTATGTCCTTTGTAGCATGAAATCATCAAGCACGTATGCCCATGCCGGTTTGACACTTCTAAATCAGCTTTGTGCTCTACGAGGTATTTCACTATTTCCAAATGGCCATCGAAGCATGCAGCTCGAAGCGGAGTCGAATTGGTTAATGTCGTGTTGTTGACAGATGCTCCATGATTTAACAAAGACTGGACAACCTTCAGATGTCCTGCTGCAGAAGCAGCCCATAATGGGGGGGCCCCCTCAATGGTTTCCCCGTCGAAATTCACCGAGCCTCCGACCTCAATGGAAGCACTGCACTGCTCTAAAAGGAATTCCACCATGTCGAGGTGCCCATACCTGGCAGCCATCAGCAGTGGCGTGGCCCCATTTGTTTTTTCAGAGATCAAGGAGGAAACCTCCTCTTTGGATTTGCTTGCCAGCAACTTGGTGAGGAGCCGGAGTTTGCCATCGCGCGCTGCGTTGAACACTGCTGTCTTTAGATCCATCTATGTCCAGTCGAGAAGTTGTGCTCTATCCTTTAAAGCAAAGCTCCAGCTTAACTCTATCCACGCAGGCAAGAGTTCCAGGAGCCAAAGTTCAGTGCTAGTCACTGCGCCCCAGATCAGATAGAAGAGCACGGAAAGCAGGCTGTGTCCTATTGCATTCCAACATCCGACAAGCAGAACACCACCCTAGAAAATGACAAAAACCAAAGTGGCAGCTTTGAATTGCCCATACACGTAAAGGAAAACACACTACTTGGGTTTCCTTATTTTCTAGTTCTGTGGGAAGAAAACAGGGAAAACGCCGTACTTTGGGGGCGATTCTAACCCCCCTCCAAAAAAACGGGGGGGGGGAAGAAAATACAAAAAGGTTCACAGAGACAACAATGTTTGGTGGGAGGCCGTTTCTCCCCTTGTGCGGAAATTTAAAGACTACAAGCAACTGGTTTGCTGGTGTCCGGCCCCAGGCAGCCCAGCTTTGTTCTGGTCCGGCTTTGCACACGCCCAGGAGACTAACCCACCGAGGCAGGAGCCGCGGCGAGCGCAGAAAGCTCTCTTCTCCGCATCCGCATAGAACTGGCCAAGGGCGCGCAGCTGGGAGGCCTCACCGTGGCCGGGATGGGTTTCGAGAAGGAACAAAAAGGTCGGACGCACCAACCCTCGGCCCGCTCACGCCAAAACCTGGCCGGAAAGGCTTTCTTCCATTTCCAATAGAGCCTCTCAGGAAATCCGGTGCCTTGTAGCCATCAACTTCGCCCGGCGGGCCGGCCACGACCGCCCTCGGTAGCCTTAGCCTCCGCCCTGCTCTGACCCCGGACCCCTCACCCCCCCCACGTCCCGAGGCCGCCGGCCGCGCCCCCGCCGC